AAAAAAAAAAAAATTTGTCTCTTGTTTTTAATTCATTTTTACTATTTTCACTCCTCAAATTTTTACTTTTCTTTCTTTTCTTTCATCTTTTCTTTTTCTCTCTCTCTCACTCACTGTCTCTCTGTCCCACATTGCTCCTCATCTCCCCATTTGTTCCTTTCTGCACTGAATTTGGATTTCTCCCTTACTGTTCTTTTTTTCTCTTTTTCCTTCTCTTATCATTAGGTTTAAAGGAAAGTAAATTCGGTATCTGGCCTCCCTGTTGCTGTTAGGTGATTCTATTCTCAACTTTGTTCTTTCATTCTGCCTTTCTCTCTTGCCTTTAACAACTTCTTAGAGTTTGTGTGATCTTTCTGTGTCTTCTGGCCTCACCGCTAATGTTACCTGTTCTTTCTACCTGTCCCTCCCTCCCCAACTGCTTTTAACTCCCCACCCCGAAGGGGAAAGATGCTATATTGAAGAGTTTATTCATTATAAACTTACGTTGGGTTGGTCCTCGGTTTTAATTTAACTCACATAGATAGATTAATAACTACCACAAATTGTCATTTTCTAAGCTGTGCTTGATGCTATGGTATTGCTGACTATGTCATTTGGGCTAACATGTTGTGATGGATCTAATTCGTTTTCCTTCCTCGTATAAGGAAAATAAAGTAGCCTCAGAGTCATTACAGTCTCAAAACCCAAACACAAGCTATATCTGGAAGACACCTCTGAAAAGCAATCATTCCACAAGGGTTTTAAACGCAAGCAACAAACATGCCTACATTAAGCAATTCTGAAATATCAACCCAGGAATTAAACCAAGGACAGTACCAAAAACAAAAATGAGGAGACAGTTAAGCAAGGCACAAACTCGGGCTTCCATGCCACAAAAAGGAAATTCTGGGGGAAATGAGGTGGAAAAGTCTGTTAAGCAACCACTTGGACACCCCGAAATGATAGCACAGGAAGTAAGAAAGCAGATGCATGAGGCTCTAGAAAAATTCAAAACAGAAATAATCTCCCAGGTAAATACAGACATGGTGAGCAGAGTGAAAGACATGATTAGAAGCTCTAGAGAAGAAACAGATAAAGAAAATAGATGAGATCAGAAACATGCTGGAAGCCATGAATGCCCAGCATAAGAAGGAAATGGAAAACATGATCGC